CAAATGAAATGAACACGTTCCGCTGCGCCTGCTAGAAGGAAGTTTTGTCGGAAGTAGTTTAGGCTAACGGATGTAATGGCGGTAGGTACTAAGATGGCGCCGTTTCCGTTCGCAATCCATTGTTTACTCAGCTGTATTAGCCTTATGTTGAATAAAGCTAGGGCAAAGTTAAATCTTAACTGATATTCCATGTAAAGAAAGTTTGCCCGAAAATTAACGAATATTTTAGTAGAGAAAGTTTAATTCAAATAATCTTGAGCTTGTAAAGTATATACAATTGCGCCTAATGAGTATATATATTGCGCACAATGAGATTTTAAATAAATAGAAACAATATCTGTGAGCCAAATAACCATCGAGTGATCAAATTAAATAAGTTTAAACTGGTAACTCAATATTATTGCTCAAAAAATCTAACTGCTAACTTCGATGAAATTTATATGAGACCAAGACAAGAATGAACCGTGCATAATCCTTTTCATAGAAAATTATCAAAATCTGTTCATATTTGGCAAATACAGTACAGCATATATATAGCTATACGAAATTGAATTCCAATATCAATAACTTTTTTGGTAGTTGGTTGAAAATTAAATACTTTTATAAGAATACACTAAAAATTAAATAACACTATAAATTAAAAGTTAAAATTATATCCGTATAATACGTTATATGAGTTTATCATGATAATTTAAAGTGACGAAAATAATTATGTAAATGTCAAGCTAATTACAATATTGTTTCCATTACAAAGAGAAAGTAGGTACTTCAAAAGTTATAGAGGAAAAGACAAATAAACGTAGGCCGTAACCCGACAAAAGGCGCTTTGAAATTTAGAGGTGAAATTGTTGAAAAAATAATATTGTCCTGCTTAATCGGAAATGACACCTGAAAACAACAACTGAAGTTAATAATTTTTTCATATTAGGCTCTTAGAAACCTAATTTATTAGATTTTTTAAAAATATTTGATGTTACAAGATAAAAACAATAAAAATCAATTATTGTGATATTCTCAGATACCACATTGGCTCAAAGTGAGCAACATGATGTTAAGCTTAAACAATTATAATATTGTCAGCTGCTTTAATAGAAAAATAGTAAATAGAGGAGGTTCTATGATATTGGTGAAAAATAATATAAAAGTAAAAGAACGTAGTGATATTGGCAATCTTTCCGTTGAGTGTAGTATTGAAATTTCCTGTGGGGAACTAGAAAATTATATAGTTATGTGTGTATATAGACCTCCAAATAGTGATTATAATTTATTTCAAGAGGTAATGGAGGATATTTTAAAAAGAGTATTTAATATTAACAAAAAAATTATTGTGTGTGGTGATTTCAATGTTGACATTTTATCACATAACACCACAAAATCCAAATTAATGAGTTTATTTCAATCTTTTGACTTGAGTAATGTCTTCCACGAACCCACTCGTATCACAGCCACGTCTGCTACTTGTTTGGATAACATATTTAGCAATAGTGAGTATCTAGATAAAATAATAATAAACAACCTTCCTTCTGATCACTGTGGTCAAATAGTAATTTTTCCAAATCATGTAAACAAAATTGGGAAAATTAATCTATTAAAAAGAGACTTGACTAGTTATAAGATAAATAAATTTAAAATGTCAGTTCGTAGTAAATTAGATTTTTATTCTCAATCCGATGAACCTAACAAACTTTATACAGATTTCTTCAATATTGTTTCATACGAATATAATAAGGCTTTTAACAAAAAAACTATCAGTATTAGTAAAAAAACAAAATTTTCAGAATGGACTACAAAGGGAATTCTGAAAAGTAAAAATTTATTATTTGATTTATATGATCAAAAAAAATACCGTTTCGATAGTACATTCGTAAATTATGTAAAAAGATACTCAAAAACTTTTAAAAAGGTATGTAATGTAGCAAAGTCTAACTATCTAAATAAAAAAATTAAAGAATCCAAGGATAAGATAAGGACAGTGTGGAATATTATTAACAAAGAAACTGGCAAAGTTAAAAGTCCAAATAATGATTTTACGTTAAATTATAATGATAAACAATAACGTCCACAAAAGAAATAGTCTATATTTTTGATAAATTTTTCGCTAATACCCCAACTGATATTACGTCTCCTTTGGATTCTTCTCCAAGTACAGCTAAATTATTCCTTATTGACAATGTTGCTTCGTGTCCGGTTACATTTAAATTTACATTACATTACATTTTATTGACATTGCTACAATTACGAAAACATTTAAACAATTAAATTTAAAAAATACTGAAGACCATTGGGGCATGTCTGTTAAAGTTATTAACACCGCTATAGATGTTATTGCTCCATATTTAGTGACTATCTTCAATAAATGTATTTTTGACGGTGTTTTTCCCAATTTAATGAAACATAGCAAAATAACTCCACTTTATAGGTCAGGGGATAAAACTGAAGTAGGTAATTATAGGCCCATTTCTATTTTACCAGTACTAAGTAAAGTGTTTGAAAAAATTATGCTCAATCAAATGCTTCAACACTTTAAAATAAATAGACTGCTTCACAGTCAGCAATTTGTTTTCACAGCCGGTAAATCAACTACTGACGCTGGTGTAGCTTTAATGAAATACATTTTTGACTGTTGGGAGAGGTCTCAGGATGCTATCGGTGTATTCTGTGACCTTTTAAAAGCATTTGATTGCGTTGATCATGAAACACTCTTGCTCAAACTAGAACATTACGGTATTAGATATGAAGCACTAAGCATGATGAAATCAAATAATATGAAATAATGAATCTATGTAAATAATAGAATGCAAGTTGTTGAAATAAATGGTGTAAAGTCTGAGGGAACTAGTATTAAAATGGGTGTTCCTCAGGGCTCTATTCTAGGTCCTTTCTTATTTTTAGTTTACATAAACGATCTTCCTTATATGGTAGAAAAGATAGCTGACATAGTTCTGTTTGCTGATGATACTTCATTAGTATTCAAAGTCGACATATAGATGATATGGACGAAGTAAATGGTGCTCTCCCTTATGTTTTGAAATGGTTTACTGCTAATAATATGCTACTAAATGCAAATAAAACTAAATGTATCAAATTTACTCTCCCCAATGTAAGGCCAGTAGATTCAAAAATCGTATTGGACAATAAACCTATTAATTTTGTTGACGAAATTGTATTTTTAGGTATCACATTAGATTCCAAGTTGCAATGGGGTGCTCATATTGCTAAATTGGCGAGTCGACTTAGTTCTGCCGCTTATGTGGTAAGAAGAATTAGACAATTAACAGACGTGGCAACGGCTAAACTTGTCTATTTTAGCTATTTCCATAGCATTATGTCCTATGGTATTTTGTTATGGGGCAAAGCAGCTGATATAAATACAATATTTAGTTTACAAAAGAGGGCCTGTCGCTCCATTTAAGGTATGGGTTCCAGGGAGTCATTGCGAGAGTGTTTTAAGGAATCAAATATCCTCACCGTTGCTTCTCAATACATTTATGAAAATATCATCTATACCAGGAAAAATATAGAAAGTTTCAAAAGAGTTAGTGATTGCACCAATAAAAGCTTACATAACAATACCAAACTAATTTTACCTAAATGTCGTTTGGCTAAAGTTAGTAATTCGTATTATGGAAATTGCGTAAGGTTTTACAATAAAATACCAGAGTCTGTTATAAATCTGCCAGAAAAAAGATTTAAATGTCAAATAAAACAGTTCCTTTGCAAAAAAGCTTACTATAAAATTGATGAATTCCTTAACGATAATAATGTTTTTATAGAAAAACTTTAAATCCATAGCACTGACAATATTATCTAATTACACTAATAATGAGTGCGTAGCGATTTCTATGTTGATTATCACATGCCTCTTACTTGTTATACTGTAATTATTGATATAAAAAAAACATCTATTAAAAAGAGCAACACACAAGTTTCTTGCTCGTTCTTCTTGTGATGAATCTGCATTCCGAATGAGTGGTAGAATCAAAATATGACTATTCAAAAGTGCTTGTAATGAGTTTATTTGAATAAAGATTATTTATATTTCTATACCACAGCTAAAAATAATGTCAAAGCATTAGTATCCGCGATATTCGATTTACCTGCTTTTCGTACAATACTTTAGAATGCATTATGCATAATTGTTATCTTGTGGTTAATAGACATCTCTCGGATTGCTGCAGATGGTTAACTTATCCGGTAGTTAAAAGTGAGAAATATTCCATTCCTTATACAATATCAACTATTTATTGTTACCTGCTTAATGTAAGCTCTACAGTTACTTGTATTTTGTTGATCCTTTGGAACTCGTTAGAGGTTTTTCCAATATCTAGTAGGGATTGTTTCACTCTGTGAATATTCTACGCTTTGTGCATTTCACTAGTTTCCATTTTTCGGAATATATAAGTAATAACTTATATATTCCGATATAGAAAAATGGACTAATAACTACTTACATATTTAATAAATAATACTTAACTCCATAGTGGCTGATAGCCACTATGGAGTATAAGACTGTATGTGAGTATGGAGTATAGGACTGTAAGACTACGTTTGATTTCCATAATCCAACGTTAGTAATGATAACGTGCATTCGTTGAGGATTTTCGTTTTTAAATTTTGTACTTTTTATTTATTAATAATAATAAATAAATAACGCTGGACAATTAACACAGCGCCATCTAGTCCTACGGTAGTATATATAGTATATACCTACGATATCCATAGTAAGGTCAATATGAGAGAGTTTCACGAATAGTACCTCCATGTCTAAATGGGTATTATCCAGTTTGACAATTTATAATAATAATACATACTTTTCGACAATAGCAAGTGAAGCGATCCCAACCGTAACCGGTATAGGTGTAACCTAAACATGAGATATATTTTTAGTTCTATTCATATCAATCTAAACATTTATTTAAAATTTATTTGTCCCATTAGCATTATCAAAAGTCAATGACTGCCGTTACGATACTGTGAACAGTCTATAGTATCTTGTCATTTGTCATTCTAATACATGTTTATCGGAGCACCAGATAGGTGTACTTCGTAAAAATTGATTATTAAAAATATATTCCCTTCGCATTACTATTCCTTACATTCTTTGGCTTTTCTACTGTTTTGTCTTGTTTATCTTTAAAACGTAAAAATGTATACGTTTAGTCTACTAGCTACAGTAGTGGTTGTTTCATTATGTGCTGGCATTAATGTTAAGGGAGACTGCATATATGACGATGGAGGCCTCTGTGAGTATTTACAAATACATAACCTGTTACCTGTTTTAATTATCTTTATTCATTTTTACTAAACAGTAAATAAGCTGTCAGGCTGTAATCGTGTGAAATAAATAATTACTATTTTCTTAATGGATTTAAAGTAAAAACTTGTGTGATATAAATGTCTTTTTGTTATTTATTAAGATATATATTGTTTGTATCTATACGTGAGTATATCTTAATAATATTATAAACGCAAAAGTTTGTGAGTATGGATGGATGTTTGTTACTTTCACGCAAAAACTACTGAACGAATTTTAATTAAACTTCACAGTACTATATATAGCTTATACATTAGAATAGCAATAAGAAATAGGCTATCAGTTTCACGCGGGTGAAACCGCGGATACAGCTGATATGTAAATAATATAATGAATTTAGAAATAAATATTTCTTAGACAGTTCATCTATTGGCGTAACAACTATAATAATAGGTATAATAAGTTCAAAAAATATTTTTACCTCAGTAGATTTTGTACGTTTAAAGTTGCTTGTTTGAGTCTTTCTCACATATTTCAGCCACCTCACTTTAGCAGCTCACTTTGTAAGATGTGTCTGGGCAGAACTTTAAAATTACGCGGTATAGAGGCATGACACCTTAGTTCTCTGGAATGGTAGCGCACGACTATAGGCGTGATGTCTATGTATATGAATATAGACAATTGTTACCATTTATCATCATTTGACCTAGCTTGTCGGCCATTCTAACTAAACTGATAATATCTATTGTACACAATCTAATTAAAAATTATGCAGGTCTCAGGGACTGCCCGCCAGATACGTTCTCTTACAATCCCGGATGCATAGAGCAAACCATGTCACAGCGTACCTGCAGCCAGCCGAAGGCTCGAGCCATTGGCGTCCTATGTGATTATTCTCGATGTGACTGCGCTGAGCCAAAAGTGTGGGACGAAGCCGCCGAGAAGTGCGTATTACTCGAAGACTGTTCCGACCAGTCCAAATTAGCTAACAATGGCGGTAGAATATAAAAATTAATTACCTATTTATAAATAGGTAATTAATTTTTATTATCCATAGAAGAAAATAAGTGATTACCAATATATGTGACATTGAAAGTTGACATGATAATTTAAATTGCACGAGATAAAGATCACACTTTATCTAGAACAATATATAGCAAAAATATTTTTCAATTCTAATTTCTTTTAATTCTAGTAGCAGACTTCTATATTTCTAAATTTTAACAAATGAGGTAAGCCCGAGTAGGTGTGATATTTAATATACAATAGTATCATTTCAATTATTTAAACAATGTTAATTGATAATGTAATAATTTATTAGTAGTAGTATTAATTTGTAATAAGATAAAGTAGTACCTAATGCTCGAATTTTCTTTTGATACACTTAGTACTTAAGTAAATACCATAGTGTCAAACTCCACTTATGTTACATAAGAAACCTATTTTTTAAACTTAAAAGCTAATTAGGTAAGGTCTCTATGTATTAACTGCATGTAATTTTCGTATTTTGTGTTGTATATGTCAATGAAAATATAAAATCATACAATAATTATTTTAAGTTATATATAAAATAAATGAATAAAATATAAATGACTATTACTTATTACTAATTATTGACCCATACAATCAATTCATTTATAAAATTTATGTATATAAGATTATCTGGTAATTCTGAAATTGGTCTGAAATAAGGTTTAATAATATTAAATAGACATAATTTTGCCTCTACAAAGATATCACAATATTATTTACTAGCTACTCGCCCCGGGTACATGTATTATATATATAAACCTGCCTCTAGAATCACCCTATCTATTAAAAACACCGCTTCAAAATTGATAGAGATATTCAGTGGATTACGTATACAGTTGTAAATATAATTTATTTCGTTCCAATTGCAGTTGCACGTTACACACAAACTGTTACTTAGCAACAATACTTATTTTAAATGTGATGGATTATACTTTTTCTACTTCAATCAATGTGCCTAATAAAAATCCGTTGCGTAGTTTTTAAGATTTAAGCATACATAGGGACGCACAGACAACGACAGCGACTTTGTTTTATACTATATAATGATACATATCATTAAGCAGACAAATAGTCAAAATATTTGCATTTATATATGTTTACTAAATTGCACCTATCTTATCAATTAACAACTCATGTATGTAAGCGATTGATAACATATGGAGATATCTCCTTAAAATTAACAATTGAATGAAAAATTTACAACAATAATAATGTATGTATGAGAAAGTTAATTACTAAAGGTATTGTTGGGTCATGTTTCATGCTGTTATTTAGCGCAATATTAGATAACTAGTGACGCGCCCCGGCATCGCCCGTAATTCGTATTGGCATTATATAATTGTTCATGTCAGTCTGATATTTCAGACTGACATGAACAATTATATAAAGCCAATACTCCAATAATTTGAATGACCTATTGGTCATTCAAATTATTGGAGTATTCCGGAGTTTACTCTCATCATAACAATAATAACTCTCTTTATAAGATTAGTATAAATAGCTGACCTTTATAGATACCTATTTCACATTGTTCGTATACAAATAACTATTACCAAATTAATTAAGTTTACTTTGCTGCTACAATATTAATACAATAACATCCTTAGATTTGATCAAAATCTAAGGATGTTATTTTATTAATATTGTGGGCGATAAAAGAAATTGTAGAAAAATGACCACAGCCAAGTTGTAGTCTTTCAGGAAGGGAAACCGAACAATAAAAAGAAGTGACAATTTAATGTTCAAATAATATTATTTATTTACATTGAAATTTACTAAGGTTATATATATAGTACCCACTTATTTTTATTGTTACTTTCATTACTTCTAATAAAATTATGTATATAAAACTATTTCGAGGTTCTTACAAGTCCCGCCAAAATTATAATTGGCATAGAAACCTTTATGTATATAAAACTAAAAATACATGATTATTTATTTTTATATAAATTGTAATTACGAGAAAGGCGACTGTAAGCCTGAAATAAAATAAAATTAAAGTGTTTTAATTAATTGAAATAAAACATAACATCCTTCTATTCGTATCGTAGACAAGTAGGTACTTAATGGTTATGCATATGCATACTTAATTTGTTTTATGTAGCGAAGCGTAAACAATATATTACTTAATTATTTTTAATTTTACAAAAATTGTAATATTATCGTAACTGTGCTTTTAATAAACACTTTGTGTCGTAATTCTATCGTAGATTGTACGTGCAAGTCATGACATGTCATAAAATTAATTAGGTTTGTTTTGTTAAGATAAATCTAAAGTTATATAATGATCTGATCATAACATTGTAATTCAGTAGCTTCGCGGAAGATATTTATTACGGTTAACTCAACAGCAAAACAAATAATCGAATACCTTGCTACCAGATACGGAAACCGAATAGGTACTATGAGTAGAGTCGACAGTATACGGTACGACTGATAAGAAATATAAAAAAATATGTACTTTTCACAACAATTTTTAAGATTGAAATAGATAAAATAATCCATTAATAATGTTGTGTAAATTAAGTATTTATTATGAGCAAATTGCGTTAAGATATGTTATAATGTTATAATATCAAGTTGCCAAAAATAAAAATATATTACTAAATAATAGTGTAATATTTAATATTGTACCTGAAGCACCTTTATATCTGCTTGTGATTCAAATAGGTACAAGAATTAGAACTAAAAATACATTTCTTTTAATCGAGAACGCGAATAATATTGATTACTCAAATATAGAGTTGATAGTTACACTTTGTAATGAAAACAACATAAAAACCTACAAGTACTTATGCAAATGTATTTATCTATAATACATTTTACTTACACCATGTAAAAGAAATATCTTAAGGATATTTATCGAATGATTTTTAATAGATAGAGTATTGTTTTTATTAATTTTATAATTCATTTGGCATCGTAGTTGAATTACTTGTGAAAAATTATATTAAACAGGCTTTTAATATTCATTAAGGGGTTTCTTTGTCCTTTACCGTTTCTTAAATGTTTTGACAACACCATTAAAAGTGATCAACATTTTAAAATTGCCAGTTACAGAGTTTGGACACTCAGCAGTTATCTGTGTGAAAGAAAACAAGCCGCTGTAATAGCGCAGCCTTGTATAATTTTATCATGATTTATGGTAATTTAATTAAATTATTGATTCAGTTATTTTAAGTTTTATCACTAGGCATAATTTTAATTGCAGTATTAATATTATACATATTATGAAAATAATGTGCGTTACATAATAAGTGTGTAATGTCAACCATTTCAAGGCTGTCTTATATCAAGAAAACAGATTATCTAACTAATAAAAACAATAAAATATATTATGTTATCTAACCAATATAAATCTGTACCTGTCATATACATATGTGATAAAAAGTTGGCTACTTTAAACAAATCCTATATTGACGAAGAGTAAGATTTATTCCATTTCCAATAATAAGAGGATTAATCTTATTCCCTTGAATATCCGAGGGTTAAATTCGAAATTGATCAACGACAAAGTTAAGCTGGCACGGGACAGACAAAAGGAGTTACATAGCTCAGATGAAGTTTCTTGGCGAGTATCGAGAATGTGCCGTGCTACGTATGCTTTGTACGCTGTGAAATTCAGTAATTATTACTTTAGGCACTTCACATTTTATACAAAATAATAGAGACAATATTTATGCAATTAGTGTTGAGGAGAAGATTTTCCTCGCACTTCCTGATACGATCTAAACATCACATTGTAATAGGGAAACAAAAAGTCACGGATGTGTTCCATATTTTGTAGCGTTGTGGATATTTTACGACACTATGGTACAGTTTTATATGGTATAATTTTTAAAATCGAATTACTTAATAATACTAAATACCTAAAAATTGTATAGTATGAAAGTTATAAGAATGTGGTAAAAACTATGGATTACTTTTTTGTTTAATTTATAATGTTCCTGGATATAAAATACCCGGGTTGTTACAGCTTTATTAACACATATTTTTTTTATTATATTATGCGATACACAACAAAATGAACAATAATATACTATGTACTATATATATCTTAGAAATGTCCATCAAAAAATCTTTTACTATACTATAGGACTATGCTACAGGGTTTTATATTCGTTTTTGTTTGTTTACGCATTTGTAAAACTTAATTATATAGAACTATACAGCATTGTTACTAACACGTATTGTAGTTCTAAACAAATTCTAACTATAACTGGGTATAACAATGAGCATAAAAAACAATATCAATAATCTTATCTATTGGCTATGAGCTCGTTCACAAGGGTTACTTACTATAAATATACCTAAATCTCACTTCACTACGAGGAAATCTTTTTCTTTTATGATGTCAGCGATTCCGTGGAAGTTTAAAAAATCATAGGGATTTTGGGCCAATCTAAATCGGAAAAAAATCTATTTATGTTGATCACTCGTTTTATTAGATACTTAAAATAATAAATAATTATTTTGTTATACTGGAATTATTACAAACTGTATTTATGTTTTTGCCTATAATAATAAAAAATCTTAAATATAATGCATGATTCTATCTAATATTAAGGTTTTATTTTACACAAGAAAAATGGTCAAATGATCATAATTTTTATAGACAATTAAAAGCTATTAATCCCAAAATAGGAATCAATATCAGTACTCAAAGTATCATATAAAAATACACACAAAAAATGCCTTCGAACTAAGAACTAACGTCCTAATTATAAAGGTGGATAAGAGTCGCATATACATACACACATGAACAGCACTACGGATATCAGATTATCATGGAGACCCTTGATACCACTCAGAGAACTAAGATGTAATTTCACTGAGTAATCATACCCTATTAAACAGCTTATAAATAGAGCTTACAAAGCAAGCTGCTTGGCAGCTGAAATTGGTGAGACTGAGATATACACTGCACTGCGGTTTATTAATATTTTTTTTTTAACTTTTTGCAATTATAGTGTATTCATAATTAGAAGAACAAATTATATCTAAACAAAAGGCGCAATTTAAATTACTATAATTAGGAAGTATCAGCCCGAACTAAGTTTAAGAACGAAGGAGGTGTTGTAAATAATATATCACATTGTTTTGGTACAAATATGGGAGAATGCATAATTTACATGTCAAATTAAGGCGAATATGTTGGTCCATAATTTTCTATCTACCCGCTGCTCTTTAGTTTACCCATGACAATGACGCTTGTAACATTGACGAAATATCGGGAAACCAATAATAATAAATAAAAATGAGGTAAGACACCGTGATTTTCTTTATTTTACGTGTAAATAATGACCGCATCAAATTTAAAAAAGTATATAATGCATCATTTGTAGTATATTAGACATGGATATAAATA